TGGCTAACACGGTAAAACCCCATCTCTACTAAAAATACAAAAAAAAAAAAATTAGACAGGCGTGGTGGTGGGCACCTGTAGTTCCAGCTACTTGGGAGGTTGAGGCAGGAGAATGGTGTGAACCCGGGAGGCAGAGCTTGCAGTGAGCCGAGATCATGTCACTGCACTCCAGCCTGGGCGACAGAGTGAGACTTGGTCTCAAAAAAAAAAAAAAAAACAAGAACAAAACTGAATGCCTTTAACGGTACCCAAGTCACTTCTTGAATGTTTTGTTGCTTAGAAATTTCTTCCGCCAGACACCTTAAATCAGCTCTCTCAAGTTCAAAGTTCCACAAACCTCTAGGGCAGGGGCAAAATGTCCCCAGTCTCTTTGCTAACACATAGCAAAAGTCTCTTTTGCTTCAGTTCCCAACAAGTTTCTCATCTCCATCTGAGACCACCTCAGCCTGGACCTTATTGTCCATATCACTATCAGGCTTTTGGTCAGTCATTCAACAAGTCTCTAGGAAGTTCCAAGCTTTCCCACATTTTCCTATCTTCTTCTGAGCCCTCCAAACTGTTGCAACCTCTGCCTGTTACCCAGTTCCAAGGTCGCTTCCATATTTTTGGGTATCTTCAATAGTGCCCTACTCTACTGCTACCAATTTACTGTATTAGTCCATTTTCACACTGCTGACAAAGACATACACAAGACTGGGAAGAAAAAGAGGTTTAATTGTACTTACAGTTTCACATGGCTGGGGATGCCTCAGAATCATGGCAGGAGGTGAAAGGCACTTCTTACATGGTGGTGGCGAGAGACAATGAGAAAGATGCAAAAGCGGAAACCCCTGATAAAACCATCAGATCTAATGAGACTTATTCACTACTATGAGAACAGTATAGGGGAAACCGCCCCCATGATTCAAATTATTTCCCACAGGGTCCCTCCCACAACATGTGGGCATTATGGGAGTATAATTCAAGATGAGATTTCAGTGGGAACACAGAGCCAAACCATATCACTTGGTTATTGTATTTTTCAGTTCTTAAATTTTCACTTAGTTCTTTATAATTTCTATTTATTTGCTGAGGCTTTGAATTTTTTCATTTCCTTTAAGTATGTTCAAATTTTGCTCATGGAAGCATTTTTATCATGGCTGTTTTAAATACTTTATCAGATAATTCTAATATCTCTGTCATCTTAGTGTTGACAGCTATTGGTTTTCTATTTTCACTCAGTTGGAGACTGCATTAGCCCATTCTTGCATTGCTATAAAGAAATACCTGATATTGGGTAAGTTACAAGAAAAGAGGTTTAATTAGCTTATGGTTCCACAGGCTATAAAGGAAGCATGGCAGCACCTGCTTCTGGGGAGGCCTTAGGGAACTTTAACTCACAGCAGAAGCCAAAATAGGAGCAGGCATCTTATGTGGCAGGCACAGGACCAAGAGAGTGAGGGAGGATGCACTGCACACCACACTTTTTAAACAACCAGCTCTCATGATGACTCACTCACTCTCACTCACTGTCATGAGAACAGCACTGAGGGGATGGTGCTAAACCATTCAGGGGATTCCTCCCCGATGATCCAGTCACCTCCCAACAGGTCCCTCCTCCAACACTGGGGATTACAGTTCAACATGAGATTTGGTGGGAACACAGATCCAAACCATATCAGATATAAGTGACTTTTAATTGAATCCTAAAAACTTTCATATTATGAGGCTTTGCATCTCATTTAAATTTTCTGTTTTACTCGAATTTCTCAAACACTAATCTGACAAGGAAAGGGATGGGAGTCTCCTTACTATTGATGGGGGTAGAAGCCTGTATTCCCCATTCAGACTTCATTGTCACCCAAGGGATGGGGGACTTCTTTGTTACTGCTATATATGGGTGTGAGTTCCAGCTCCACGTGTAGTTTCTATGATCAACATGGTGGGGATGGTGAGTACTTATTGATAATGGTGAAAGTCCTGCCTCTCTGTTAATATTCTTCTGATACCACCCCTGAGGGGAGAGGGGATAGTACCTTATTACTTACCTTGGGAGTGGAAGTCCAGGCTATCACATGGCCTCCACAGGCATCTTGGTGGTGAGGGTGGGGGCGAGGCTGGTTACCAACCAGCATGAATAAATGTACTGGCTTCCTACTTGGCCTTCTCTAATATCATCCAGTGGGAGTGTTGGGACACCTAATTACAGCCCTGTGAGGGTGGATGTCTGGCCTCCCCACTTAACCTTTGCTGATTTAGTTGGGGATTGTACCAGAGTTTTTCTGTAGTGTTTGGTTGGAATAGAATAGTTACTGTCTAAAAGTTTTCTCTCCTTCTAGGCTGCCCCTTTCCTGGTCCTTTGGCTAGAGACAGCAAGCTTTTGTTAAGGCTTTCCGTATCTATAGATCTGTTGGTGTTTCTAGGCTGCCAACTTACTCTTCTCCAAGTCTGAGATAGATGAGGCTAAAGGAATATCCAAGGAACTCACCATAGTGTTGTTCCTCAGGTTCTAAGGCACATAGTTGCTTTACTTTCTTCTCTCCATTTCTTTCAGAGTCTTCTTATGTTTGTTTTGCACATAATGTTTAGCTATATTTATAAATTGTAAATTGGTGATCTGTAGTTCATAGATGGCCTCAAGGTGCTTTAAAAGAAAGTGGGGCAGGTTGGAGTGGAAAGGTCTACAACCCCTTATCCAAAACCCTTGGGGACAGATTTTTTTTGTGTGTTCAGAAATATTTCTGAAGATATTATATATGATATTATAAAGAAGTCATTGCTGACATTTATTAAAAACAATAAGGCAGACTTTATTCAGGGGGGCTACTATAATGGGGTTTTGTAGCAGGGAAGAGAGATGGGGCTGAACTCTGAATATAACAAGGACAAGTGGAGATTTATAGCCAAGGAACAGAGTGGGGGTCAGTGGACGGAAAATTACTAAGAAGTAGGGAAATTCTTCACTAGACTGTTTTAATAGGACTTTTTGCGGAGGGCAAGCCAGGTGATAAGGGTTGAGTGATGAGGAATTTCATCAGATATCAAGGGTGGGGAATTGTTTCTAAAGTAACTTGCAGGATTCTTGCTAGAATTGGACTAAATAGGTTAAGGACACAGCTCAAGGTCAGGAACTAGTCAGAAAAAGGACTCAGAGAAGCCTGGCTCAAGTTGGGTCAAAGGAGAAAATCTTTGTCAACATGATACCACTAGCAAGTTCTGGTACAGAATCCCAAAATCAAACATCTTAGTGCTTCTGCAGCAAAACATGAATATTCATACCAAGTTAAACAAAAAACTATAAAGATCATTACTTCATGTCAGATAACTTATGAAAATCTTTTCAGGGCCAGGCCCAGTGGCTCAAGCCTGTAACCCCAGCACTTTGAGGCCCGGTTGTACAGATCCCTTGAGCTCAGAATCAGCCTGGGCAACATGCCGAAACCCTGTCTCTACAAAACAAACAAAAAACAAAAATTAGCTGGGCATAATGGCGTGTACCTGTAGTTCAGCTACTCAGAAGGCTGAGGTGGGAGGATTGCTTGAGCCCAGGAGGTGAAGGTTGCAGTGAGCTGAGATTACATCACTGCACTACAGTCTGGGCAACAAAGCCAGATCCTGTCTCAAAAGAAAAAAGAACAAAAAGAAAAAAGAAAAAAAGGAAAATTTTTTTTTTCTGATTTTAGAGCATCTTATGAGTTAGGAATTGTGGGTCTATTTCACTGACTGTGTGTATCTACAGCTTGGCAGCTTGGTCTCAGCACCCTCTGACTTGCATTGATAGTAACCACACAACCTTCTACAGGCATTTGGGTTTGTGTTCTTTGTGTCCTGAACCATTTTAAACTCTTATATTGAGTTATTTTGCTAGTGACTAACTCATTGAAAAATAGTTTACTTTAAAAATCTAGTATTTAGTTGAATATAGAAGCTTCTTTGTTAACAATGCCCTCCTCTTTCTGTAGATGAAGATGAGGAGAGTGAGGAATCAAGTGAAGAAGAATCTAGCTTGGAGAGTGATGAGGATGAGTCTGAATCCGAAGATGAGGTTTTTGATGATTCTATTTGCCCAACAAGTAAGTTAGATAAAACCATGTGTTCTCTGTGAAGTGTGAATATTGATTGGCAATACTGAGAAGGCCCTTTTTTGGTATCTCTGTTCTCTGATAATTAAAAAAAAAGGATAGTTTAAAATGTATGAATAGAGTCTAATGAATACCCTTTTTAAAGTATAAGAATATTTATTTATTTATTTATGACAGAGTTTAGCTCTGTTGCCCAGGCTGGAGTGCAGTGGTGCGATCTCAACTCACTGCAACCTCCACCTCCCAGGTTCAAGCTATTCTCCTGCCTCAGCCTCCCGAGTAGTTGGGACTACAGACGCCCGCCACCATGCCTGCCTAATTTTTTGTATTTTTTTTTTAGTAGAGACGGGGTTTCGCCATGTTAGCCAGGATGATCTCGATCTCCTGACCTCATGATCCACCCGCCTAAGTCTCCCAAAGTACTGGGATTACAGGCATGAGCCACCGTGCCCAGCTGGGATATTTATTTCTTAATTCAACAATATTCAACTTCTACTATGTGCCAGGCACTTATCTGACGCTAGGGATACATCAAAGTATAAAACAAACTCCTCCATCCTCATGGAGCTTATAGTCTGGTGGAGAAAGACAATAAATATAATAAGTCAATTAAACAGAATCTCAGAGGATGCTATGGGAAAAGAAATGAAGGGAGTGCAGGAGTGAGGGTGGAGAGGAACGTTGCTATTTCCAATAGTATGGTCAGGGAAAACGTCAATGAATACTTTTGGGGGCTCTCTGGGTGATTTATTATCTGTTCTCTTAGGCAGCCATTTATGAGTGACAAAATATATGCAGACAATTGACAGTTGATTCAGAATTATAAATTGTGTAGCAAGTTTAATTTTATAAAGAAATGCCAGACTGTAATTTACATATATATTTTAGAGTAATCTCGTTTTTTGACAAACCTATTCAAATCTTTGTGTTGCAAATCTGTTTTGTAAGGGCGCTTTGACTAGTCTCCTGGAAATGCTTGGCAATTTACATTCACTGTTTTCACTGGTGAAACCCATCTGGAGCAGCCAGACCAATTTCTTACAGTTTCAATAGATGAACGGGTCAGTAGAGAAAAAAGACGTTTTGGGATCTGTAATTTGTTTTTCTAGACATTTCAAATGAAGTTTTAATTAAATTTTAAAAGTTTAATTTCAGATAAAATTTTGATCTTGTTTTACTTTTGAATACAATAGTCTTTAAAAATCATAATATTTACAAGCGAAATAGAGCATACAAACCTTCTAATGCCAACTCATTACTTTTTAGCAGGATAATTAAATGCCTTGAGCAATGACTCAGAGTTAGTGTGGTGATAGCACTAGGGCTAGGTCTAAACTTCCTGAATTCCATTTTAGTATTCCATTTCTACATTCTCTATTACTTAGTAGACAAAGGTGGCTCTTAGTGTGATACTGTGGAAAGAACAGAGAGATAATGCACTTGAATCCCATTCTGTTATGTACCAGTTATGTCACCTCTCTTAGACTTAAGGTATTCACCTATGTATGGGAACAATAGTTTCTGCCTTGCAGGATCTATGAGCCTTGAGTGAGATAATGTACATAGAGGGCTTAGCACAAAGCCTGCTTCAGAGTACTGCTTACAACATCAACACTATTATTATTATTATGGTTATTAATACTACTAATAATTTCAACCTGGAACAATTAAGCCGTAAGTGTCTTAAAAGCTGGCTAGAGTGGATCCATAAATAGACATTATTGATTCTGAATCTCCAAAGTTCACAGTTTTAGTACTACCGCATTCCATAACAAATGAGGCTGGTTTTTATTTTAATTCTCTTGGCAGATTGTGATGTGGCTCTTTTTGAGCTCACCCTTCAACTTCGAGAGAAAAGGCTGGACATTGAGGAGGCTTTAGTTGAAGAAAAGAAAGTTGTTGATAACCTCAAAAAGGAATATGATACATTGTCAAAAAAAGTATGGCGATCTGTCTACTTATTTATCCTCTCAAAATGCTACACATCCTCCTAGCTACAATATTGCCTTTTCATAGTAATGACAGTATTAGGACTTCTCAGAAAAGAAACATTTCAAATGTTAAGGCCAGGTTTTTTTCTCCCTAAATTGTGGTGGGGGACATTGCTTTTTTGATAATTGGACTTACTTTATCTCAGTCATTGGTCTCCAGACTTTTCTGATGAGTTTACTCTATAAGTGAAAAAAATGAAAATGGAGCCCCTCCCCATACAATAAATGTATATGTATTTATAAATTGTATTTATGAACTATTATATATTTTGTACAGTAGGAAACATCCACAAAAAACAAATTAAATAGAAGGAGATAAAAATAAATAGAAATAGAAATTCTGACATTTTCAATTTATACCCCAATAGATGATTTTTTTTAATCATCTGGGGTGCATGCATCCCATGTTGGAGACCACCAAGCTAAACGTCTGGTATAATATTGATCAATTTCTGCCTTAATCTGCTCACTTTCCCTCTTAGGTACTCTTGTCTAGAGCAACATCACTTAACTTCATTCATGTTCAGAAATATTTTTGATGTATTATATCTCCTCTTGTGAATAGGAAATGATTTGGAATACTTTCACGTTTTCTAGGACGTGGAGAATGTGCTTTAGAATACTATAGTTAGCAGTTTCATTGCTTTAAAGCAATGAAATTTGTTGAAGTCATTATGACCAAAAAGACTCCCACCATTCTGTCAAAGACATTCCATGGTGATGGGCTGCTTTTCATGCACAAAATAAAAGGGAGATGAGGACATGTTTTTTGGGCACTTATTCACAAAATTTTATAACTCTGGAGTCATAGAAATGATTGAAAGGGTGACGTGGATCATAACTTGGCAGAAAGAAAATAATATGCATTCCTGAGTTGCAAACTGGGATCATGCACTTAATCACAGTCCAACGAAGCAGATTCTGCTCATACTTTATTTCCTCCCAGGATGTCTTCATTCACCATCTTTAAGTGTATGTTCATTGAGTCTTGTCACCATTTCATGATATGGGGCTTTCCACAGGTGAAAATTGTGGCAACTAATCTGAATGCAGCGGAGGAGGCCCTGGAGGCTTATCAGCGAGAGAAGCAGCAGCGACTGAATGAACTGCTGGTTGTGATTCCGCTCAAGCTCCACCAGGTGATGCATCTGGGGAGGCTGCTCCATCCTGTCTGAGAAGCGTCATCACACCGACGCTTTTCAGAGAAAGATTTGTGGTTCACTAATGGGAAGAATCGTGGTTCTTTGTTGAGAATTCCACCTGTAGAATGACACCTACACTTGTCTTATCCACTGTCAGATTGCTGTAAAAGAGTAACATCAAAACATGCATATTTCCCTATTGCCCATTAGCATTTTGGAAATCAGTCATTTCAAGTCTAGAGAAGCGAGGAGCCTATGATTTAAGAATGGAATGGCTCAGAGGGTGAAATCTTGGCTCTTATACCCGTATCACTTGTCACACCATCTTGATCTATACATGGACTAATCATGCTAAAATGACCTTCACTTAGTCTCTACTCATTGGTGCGGGAGGTCAAGACAAAAGGAAAATACTTTCTCTTTTTTACTTTTCTTGTTCATTTCTATTTGAATTGCAACTTATATTAAATTGCAGGAATACATATCATTAAGAGAAAAGGCTCATTGTATTCTGTTTTGTCAGGTTAAGAGAAAAAGCTGTATTTTAGGAAAACAACGAGATCAGCCTTATGTGTGTTTTGTGTAACCTGACCCAAACTGGATGAGCTCAATGTAGTGGTTTGCCTAGTATGCCAGCCCTGAAATGTTTGTCACATCATTATGCAGTAGATAATAGGCATGATCTGTGTGGGAGAATTTGCTATCCCCACAGAGATGTGATGTGGCTTTCTACCTGACAGCATCTTTCTGTGTTTGCCTGGCCAGTGTTACTCGGTGAGGAAGATGGAGAAGCCCAAAGGCAAGGAGCTAAACAAGGGGCAGAGAAGGAAGTGCACCTGTTATGCTTTTTGTTGCCATATGCAAAATCTGTGTTTTTATCTGTTTGCTTTTGATTTGTTTTATGCTTGTAGATAGAGTATGTGGTATTTGGAGAAATACCTAGCGATCTTTCTGGTACTTTGGTCTTCTCTAACCACGCCTTGAGACGGCTGCAAGAACGAATCCGCGAGCTCCAGGAGGAAAATTCCAAGCAGCAAAAACTGAACAAAGAATGGAGAGAGAGACGTAAACAGCTCATCCGAGAAAAGAGAGAAATGACAAAAACCATACATAGTGAGTATCGAAGCCTACGGCCTTGCTAGTACGGTTTATTGGTAAGAAAGGGAATTATCCAGGTGACTGTCTCCAACAGTGAAAACAGTCATTGCAGACTCAGAACCACTGAGAAGGGAAACAAGAACACCATGGCCTCTCACTACTCACCGTTTCTCCTGATGGCAATGAAAAGTTCGCTTTTGTATTTTAAAGGGAGAAATCTTTTGTCATAGAATCATCTTCTCTTTGCGTATGATTAAAATGTAGAATAATACAATAGTAACCCAAGTGCAAGGCTACCCAGCTTAAGAAAGAGAACGCTGAGATACAATTGAAACCCCATCTCTTTCTAATGCGATTCTGCTGCTCCTTCCTCGGGGTTCACCACTAGGTATGCACACACACATATGGATGTGTCCACACACAATATGGAGACCTAACTTGCATATTTTTAATTGTGATGATATTTATATCATTTTGTGGTTCACTTTATTGAACCAATTTTTGAGGTATCCATAAACTACAGATAGTTTATTCACTTTACTGCTACAATATTCCATTGTATGAATATTAAATATTTTATTTAGCCTCCTATTGATGGATATTTAAGATATTTCTTATTTTTCATTATTAGAGACACTATTACAGTAAACCTTTTTGTACACATCTCCCTGTGCACATGTATGAGAAGGTGAAGCCTAGTACTGGATCTCTGGTTTACAGAGGGATATGTAAATTTTCAGCTCTCCTGGGTACTGCCAAGTTGCACCCAAAGTGGTTGAACAAATTTATCCTCCCCCAGCAGTGTGTGAGAATTACCCAGGCTCCGTATTGTCAGCAACACTTGATATTATCAGACTTTAATATTTTTGCCAGCCTGTGAGATGTTAAATTATATTTTATTGTGGTTTTTATACACATTTTTTGATTGCTGATGAAGTTAAACATCTTTACATACATTTATTTGCCAGTTATTTATTTTCTTTTCTGTAACTTGTCTGTCCCATCCTTTGCCCATTTTTGATTTCTACTTTTTGTTTTTAAATTGATTTTAGGGAGTTCTTAATATGTTCTTTTTGTCCGTGTAATACACTGCAAATCTCTTCTAGTTTGTAACTTGTCTTGTCTTTGTTTTTTTTTTTTTTGAGACAGAGTCTCACTCTATTGCCCAGGCTGGAGTCTCACCTCTCTCGCGGTGGTGCAATCTTGGCTCACTGCAACCTCTGGCTCCTGGGCTCAAGAAATTCTCCGGTCTCAGCCTCCGAGTAGCTAGGATTACAGGTGCATGCCACCACGCCCGGCTAATTTTTGTATTTTTTAGTAGAGACGGGGTTTCTCCTTGGTGGCCAGGCTGGTCTCGAACTCCTGACCTCAGGTGATCTGCCTGCCTTGGCCTCCCAGAGTGCTAGAATTACAGGCGTGAGCCACACCATGCCACCATGCCCGGCAATCTTTCTTTCTTTCTTTTTTTTTTTTTCTACTTTGTCTGGTGTATCTTTTGGATACAGATGTTTTAAATCTTAATATAGTAATTTTTATCAATCTACTTATTTGTGGTTTGTGCACTATGTGTATGTATGTGTGTCTTGCTTAAGAAATCCTTTCCTATTTTGAGATCATAAAGATATTTTTTGGTCCAACGATTCCACTACTGGGCATATATCCAAAGGAAATGAAATTAGTCATCAGTATGCAGAGGAGATATCTGCACTCCTATGTTCACTGCAGTATTATTCGCAATTGCCAAGACACAGAATCAACCTAAGTGTCGTCCATAAACAGATGAGTGGATAGAGAAAATGTGGTATATGTACATAACGAAATACTATTCAGCCTTAAAAAAGAAGGAAACCCTATTATGTGCAACAACATGGATAAACTTGGAGGACCATATGTTAAGTGAAATAAGAGGCACAGAAGGAAAATACCACATGACCTCACTTATATGCAGAGTATAAAAAGTTAAACTCATAGAAACAGAATAGAATGATGGTTACCAGGGTCTGTGGTTGTTGGCTGGGGTACCGTTTGGGGAGATGTTGGTCACAATAAAAAATTTCACTGAGATTCAAAGAACAATTTCAAGAGATCTATTGTATACTATGATTACTATAGTTAATAACAATGTGTTATATTATTGAAAATTGCTAAGAGTAAATTTTAAGTGTTCTCACAACAAGAAAAAGAAAGTATGTGAGGCAATGCATAAGTTAATTAGCTCAATCTAGCTATTACATAATGTATATGTATTTCAAAACAGCATGTTGCCCATGATAATATATACAATTTTTGTCAATTTAAAAAGATAATTTTCAGTAGTTTCCTAATTAGTAGTGCCCTTTGCATTTGGGTTTTTAATCCACTTAAAATTGAGGTATAGAGTATAAGATGTATAATGTAAAGATAATTATCTTTTAAACTACTTTAGCAATTCTTGATATGTGGAACATACATATAAGCAGTGGAGAATGACAACCGAATGAACCCACCAACCCAACTTATTGACGATAATATTACCAACACTGTAACATCTACCTGTGTGTGTTCTTTCCATCCCATTCTCTGTCTCCCCATATTCAGAGATAACCACTATTCCCAATTTTATGTTTAACATTCCCTTTCATTAAAAAATAGTTATAGCATATTTACATGTATTTCTAAATAATATATTGCTTTAGAACTTTGTAGAAATATTATATCATATGTAGCTTTTTGTAACATACTGTTTCATTTAATATATTCCTAGGAGTAGATGTGGTATAGCATATAGCTGTTGTCTTCATTGTTGTAAAATATATCATATGAGTCTACTAAAATTATTCACTCTTCTGCTGACATTTAAATTGCTTTATGTTTTTTTGCTTTGACAATTCTGCTATGAAAATTCTTGTACATGGGATATGTTTACAAGCGTTTCTAAAAGTATAAGGGTTTCATACCTAAAAGTAGAACAGGGTGGTAGGGCATATAAGTGTTTAAGTTTAAAAAATAATGTCACATTCTCTTCCAAAATGATTATATCAATTTACACTCCAATCAGTGGTACTTAAGAGTCCCCTTTGAGTTACATACATCATTGAAAATACATAATCTTATTAGACTTTGAATTTTTGCCAAACTGGAAAGTATAAAGTGGTGACTCGTGGTCTTAATTTCATTTTCCTAACCACTAATAAGGTTAAGCACATTTTGTACATCTTTGGGCCTTTAATGTTTTCTATTCTATAAAATGTCTGTTTGTATATTTTGTTCATTTTTCTCTTGATTTGTTTGCCTTTTAAAAAATTGATATGTAGGAGTTAATTTTTTTGATCCTAGTCCTTTGTTGGTTATGGGTTTTTCAAATATCTTCCTTTGGTTTTTTGTTTTCACTTTTGTGGAGGCTTTTTAAAGATAATTAAAAATTTGTTTTCAACTTTTATTTTTGGTGGGTACATAGTAGGTATATATATAAGATATATGGGATATTTTTATATAGAGATACAATGTCTAATAATCACATCAGGGTAAATGAGGTATCATCACCTCAAGCATTTATCCTTTGTGTTACAAACAATCCAATGATACTCTTTTCGTTATTTTAAAATGTACAATTAAGTTATTATTGACTATAGTAACCCTGCTGGGCCATCAAATACCAGAGTTTATTTATTCTATCCAACTATTTTTGTACCATTAACCATTCCCACATCCCCCACCCCCACTATCCTTCCCAGACTCTAGTAACTGTCATTCTACTCTATCTCCATGAGTTCAGTTGTTTTAATTTTTAGCTCTCATGAATAAGGGAGAACATGCAAGTTTATCTTTATGTTCCTGGCTTATTTCACTTAATGTAATGACTTCAGTTCCATACTTGTTCTTGCAAATGACAAGATCTTTCTCTCATTGAGACAGGGTCTCACTCTGTCTCCCAGGCTGGAGTGCAGTAGCGCAATCCTGACTCACTGCAGCCTTGACCTCTTGGGCTCAGGTGATCCTTCTGCCTCAACCTCCTGGGTAGCTGGGACTACAGGCATACACCACCATGCCTGGGTAAGTTTTTGCATGTTTTTGTAGAGATGGGATCTTGCTATGTTGCCCAGGCTGGTCTCCAACTCCTGGGCTCAAGCAATCGCCTGCCTCAGCCTCAGAAAGCCTAGACTTACAGGTGTGAGTCACTGTGCCCAGCTGAATCTTATTTTTTAATGGCTGACTAGTACTCCATTGTCTACATGTACCACATTTTCTTTATCCATTGTCTGTTGGGGGACAGTTAAGTTGCTTCCAAATCTTGGCTATTAGGAATAGTGTTGCAATAAATATGGGAGTGTAGGTTTATCTTCAATATACTGATTTCCTTTCTTTTGGGTATTTATCTAGCAGTGGGATTGCGGGACCATATGATAGCTCTGTCTTTAGTGTTTTGAGGAATCTCCAAGCTGCTCTCCAAATGGTTGTACTGATTTACATTCCCACCAACAGTGTATGAGGGTTTTGTTTTCTCTACATCCTCATCAGCATTTGTTACTGCCTGTCTTTTGGGTAAAAGCCATTTTAACAGGGGTGAGATGATATCTCATTGTAGTTTTTATTTGCATTTCTCTGATGATCAGTAATGTTGAGCACATTTTCATGTACCTGTTTGCCATTTGTATGTCTTCTTTTAAGAATTATCTCTTCAGATCTTTTGCCCATTTAAAAATTGGGTTAGTATATATTTTTCTATAGAGTTGTTCAGGCTCCTTATATATTCTGGTTATTAAGCCCTTGTCAGATAGATAGTTTGCAGATATTTTCTCCAATTCTGTGAGTTGTCTTTTTACTTTGTTGATTGTTTTATGGTGGCTTTTGATGAACCATAACTATGTGATTTTAATTGATCAACCTTTTATTTTAGGGTTAATAATTTCTAAGTTTGTTTTTTAAATTGCAGTAAAATAATAAAGCATAATATTTATGATTTTAACCATTTGTAAGTGGACAGTTCAATGGCACTAAGTACATTCATACGATTGTTCTACCATCACCACCATCCATCTCCAGAACACTGTTCATCTTCCTGAACTCCATATCCACTAAACAGTAACTCCCATTTTCCTCTCCCTCCGCTCCAGGAAACTGCCACTCTACTTTCTGTCTCTATGAACTCGAGTACTCGAAATACTTCATAATGAGGAGAATAATACAGTCTTTGTCTTTTTGTGACTGGCTTATTCTATTTAGCATAATGTCTTTCAGGGTCATCCATGTTGTAGCGTGTGTCAGAATTTTCTTCCTTTTTAAGGCAAATAATATTCCATTATATGTACATGCCACATTTTGTTTACCCATTTATTTGTCAATGGGCAGCTGGATTGCTTCCTACTTTTTGGCTATTGTGAATAGTACTGTGATGAACATGAGTGTACAAATATCTATTTATGTCTCTGCTTCCATTTCTTCTGGATATGTGCCCAGAAGTGGGATATATGGCTGGACCATATGACTTAGAAGTGATGAATAACACTGCAGTTAGCTTGTTGCCTTTCTCCATCCCTAGATCCAATGGGGAAGAAGAAGAGAGCCTAGAACATGAGGGTGAGAAGGAGAAAGTTCTCTCCATTCTAGGGAGAACAGAGCCCATGGCCGTGGGGAATGTGGGTTGTAAGTGTTCCAGCAGACTTTATGTCCCTAGTGAGCATTACCTGGCCTCGTCAGCTCAGGAGAAGGACATTGGGCTGGCTCCACAATGGAGCTGGCAAGGATCAGAGTACATGTTCTGGTATGTGAGGCTGCTGTGCGAGAGGGCAACCCCTTGCATGGGGGTGGAGCTAAGGGGAAATCAAAGATCTTACTGAGGAGGCCAGGCAGGCAGCCACAGGCCAGCACACATGCCCATCATCCATTCATCATTTCATTTGCATCACTGATTATCATGGCCACCACATTATACATGTCCATGGGGTAACATGTAGGATAGAAAGTGAATAGCCTCTCCTGGATTGCGCATAATGGCAGCCATGCCAATTGTACTATTCTAATTCAAACGTAAATTGTAACAGTTATGCCCAAATACTAATTTCTGCACTATAAAATAATTGAATCATCTCACTACATATTAAGGCCTTCAGACTTTGCTCAGGGGAGAGTCTGGACATTGAGGAAGTCCTGTTGGAAGATCATGTTTTCCTGGAGAGGTGTTCTAGTGTTCTCACATTGGGGAAAGACAAAAACCAAAGTAAAAGATATTGCATGTTAGATATGACATGTTAGATAACTGCTAAGAAGAAAAATTAAACATGGATTGAGAAAAAGAGTGCTGAGGTCGGCAGGGGCAGGGACAGGCTCCATGGAAAGGCAGCACGCCTGATCAAACGCGGTTCTCCCTGGCTAGAGGGTAAGAGCCTGCCCTTAGACACAGCTCCAGTGTCAGCTTGCTTTTAGAAAATGGGCTGGGAGGAGCAAGCCATGTGGGTCTCTGGGGAAGAGCAGTTCAGATTGGAGGAAAGGAGGCTGAGGTGAGCCTGGCATGTTTGAGAAGCACAGAGGAGGCCAGTGTGTCTAGAGCAGGGTGGTAAGGAGGAGAGGCATGAGAAAGCAGTGGGAAGAGAAAGCAGGGTAGGCAGGCCGACCATGCAGGGCCTCCTGAATTCCCAAAGGGACTGTCATTATTTACTTGGAGTAAGATGGAGACTTCTCTGAAGTGCCTGCTCTGTTCTTAATACTAGATCCTGTAAAGTGCCATATTTGAAAAAGTTGACAAGCTCATAATCTAGTCGGTGCTTGTTAAGAGTCTAAGGAGGGGCAGATCAGTCTGTGAGCCACTTGGGAACATTGAGTCAGTTTTATACAGGATTCAGAAGGTGAAAAGACAATACTGAATGGGCATTTTAAATGAGGAAAGCAGCAGGCAAAAAATCATAGAAGAAAAATCACTGATGACATAAAATCTTTCACTGTCTTGCAAAAGCAGTTCCTTAGAACTTTATTGTTTCTGGTGTTCATTTATAACAATGGGAGCCATTGAACAACCTGAGCCAGTGACTGTCTTCTTTTAGAAATGGAGGAAACAGTCCGTCAGCTCATGATCAGCAAGTTCGGCCGTGTGGTAAACCTGGAAGCCCTTCAGACGCTTTCTGTTAATACAACACTTGAAGAACTGAAGATCAGAAAACTTCGAAAGGAGCTAGCGAATGCGAAGGAGATGAAGATGTGGGAGGTAAGGAGGAGAAGGCAGGTGATCTTTGGTTGAATCTAGTTGGAGGCAAGAAATCCCAGGGAGCAGGAAGTGGTACCGTGAAGCATCTACGTAGCTGGAGCCAGTCTGCGAGCCCCGTTTGGCTGCCCCAGGATCTTAGGCCTCTCTCGGCTTCCTTACTGTTCACTTAGTTAGAGGGACTTGTTTATCTTGGAGTGAGAGCACCAGCACTAGGTTTTGGGGTCCAGGGTGCATATAAATATGACGTGAAATGGATGAAAGATTATGGAGAGGTCCCATTTTGAGACTTACATTAATGTATAAATGTTCTGCAGGCAAAAATTATATTTAAAAATGCTCAGCATCACTAATCATCAGAGAAGTGCAAATTAAAACCACAATGAGAAAATGAAATATCATCTCACAGCATTCGGGTAAAGAAAATGTGCTGTGTATGTGTGTATGTATGTATATGTATATAGAATACCATGGATTACTATGAAGCCATAAAAATATGAAATCATGTCCTTTGCAACAACACAGATGGAGCTGGAGGCCATTATCCTACATGAAATAACTCAGAAACAGAAAATCAAATACTGCATATTCTCACTTATAAGTGGGAGCTAAACAATGGGTACATGTGGACCGAAAGATGAAAATAATAAACACTGGGGACTCCAGCATCCAGGGGAGGATGGTGGGGTGAGGGTTGAAAAATTACCTACTAGGTACAACATTTGCTATCTGGGTAATGGGTCCACTAGAAACCCAAACCTCACTATTACACAATATACCTAAGTAACAAACTTGTACATGTATGCCTGAACCTAAATTTTTTTAAAAAAGTATAACTACTATGACAGTTTTAGAAATGGAGCAGCTCTCCTCTCAGGCTAGAATTGTATTACTGTATGGCTTTTGCATGCTGTGCCAATTTGGAAATGATGAAACACCTTTAAGTAATAAATTTGGTAACAAGTCATAGACTGGCTGACAGAGTCTTAGAGGATGTCAATGCCTACATATTGTTCCCTGAGCCATGAGATGAGCCATGCCCTTGTTCCAGCCTGATTCGGTGGTAGGAGCTTTCACAAAGATTTTATAAGTCCACAAAATCATGACGACTTCTCCAGCTTCCTGTCTTATCTCATTAGCAGGTGGGGTAGGAGGAGAGCTTCCTAGTGCTGTGTTGTCTAATGGTTCCATCTCAACTTTTCTTTTTTTTTTTTTTTTTTTTAATTTATTTATTATTATACTTTAAGTTGTAGGGTACATGTGCATAACGTGCAGGTTTGTTACATATGTATACTTGCGCCATGTTG